AATATAATATACAAGTTTCACTTTTTAAATGGAATTACTGAAATAAATCTATTTTTTCATGATATTCTAATTTTATGACCAGCACCTGTATAATGTGCAAATGGATTGTTTGATTTGGAAGACTGTATAAGATTGAGGCAACAACCAAGTGCTGCAACACCACACAAGGCCAATGCAAAATGGTGGGGATGATGTATTACATKTCTGACACATTGTTTTTCTTTCTCCTTTCAAGTCCAGTAGGCAGGCTGGTGCAAATTTGGATCTCTTAAAGCTGATTGTATGGAGAAGTTTGAATGGACCAACACCGGCTCCACCACAACCTATTAAAAAAGCTCACCTGGAGGGCTGGCTCTTCTCTTGTCTGCTGCGGCTGATTGCTTGGTCCACCTGTGCAGCTGCTGTGGAGCCTGCTCTATTGTTTAAAGTTTTGTGGTGGGAGTTAAGAGGACTAGGTAAGTTCGGGGTACCCAATACATTTTCATCACACAGATAAGTTTGTTAAAAACACTAGGTAAGTAGGTTGGTGCCACCCATTGTTACAAATGAGCTTGGTTGATTAGAACCCCAAGATGCAGAACTGATTGAGGTGGCAAAAAGGTAATTTATTAAAACAAAACAAAGATGCTGACATGGCAGCAAACAAGAACAAGGGATTTGGGCAGGAACAAGAACATGGACATCAAACAGAGAACAAGAACAAGGATCTGACAAAGACTGAGGACAAAGGGCCGAATATAAAGGAAGAACTAATGAGGTAAGACAAGAAACACCTGGGGAAGAAACATGAGGATCAGGTGTGAGTGGGCGGGTCTAGAGCAAAAGGTAGACAGGAGGAAGAAAACAGGAGGAAAAGACAGAAAACTTAGACTAAATCATAAACACAGACACAAATCATGACATAGCCCCCCCAATAATGGACGGCTCCTGACGTCCCACAAACAAAAGTTCAGGAGGACGGCCATGAACCTCCCTGCCAAATAGGCCAAAGTTAGAAGGACGTTCTGGAGATCCCCACTCCATGTCCAATGAGGCCCCAGGAGCAGAGCAGAGCCAGAGGGAGGAGGCAGGAGCAGACGTGGAGCCGAGGGAGGAGGCGGGAGCAGACGTAGAGCTGAGGGAGGAGGCGGGAGCAGACGTGGAGCCAAGGGAGGAGGCGGGAGCAGACGTGGAACCAAGGGAGAAGGCAGGAGCAGACGTGGAGCCAAGGGAGGAGGCGGGAGCAGACGTGGAGCCAAGGGAGGAGGCGGGAGCCGATGAGGAGCAGTCGAAGGTTGATGGAGCAGGAGCCTCAGTGACGGCAAACACAGGCGACAGAGGGGACGAAGAGGCGACGGCAGCCGATCCATGCGACATGGAGGCGACGGCAGTCGACCCAGGTGACATGGAGGTGACAGCAGCTGACCATGGCGACAAGAAGGCGATGGCAGCCGACCCAGGCAACATGTAGGTGACGGCAGCCGACCCAGGCAACATGGAGGCGACGGCAGCTGACCCAGGTGACATGGAGGCAACGGCAGCCGACCCAGGTGACGTGGAGGTGACACAGCCGACCCAGATGTCATGGAGAAGACGGTAGCTGACCCATATGACGTGGAGGCGATAGCCGATGACCCAGGAACCTCAGGAGCAGAGGGCTCAGCAGGAGACCCAACAGGAACCAGAGCTGCAGGGCCCACAGGAACCAGAGCTGGAGCTGGAGCATGAGGTCCAGCATCAGAGGGGTGGGAAGGGTGGGTCTCAGAATCTCCCAGAGCTGCCAGCTCTGAGGGACACCCTGAAGAA